GAAATATGCTGATGAAGTCAATTTATTCTTAGGAAAAAAAGTTCAAAAATTTTTTTTCAGCAAAAACTGTACAAAAAAGTAGCAAGCATTTGCGTACCAAACTGGCAACATACAAAACTAATTTGCAAACTACTCATGCTAGAAACCCAGGGATTGAAAACTTTCAGCGAAGAAAAAAGTAAGACACAATGCGATTGCTTCTCGTTCTTTCGGCCTGCCTTACCTTCAAAACTGTAGACTTCAGGTCCACCCAAGGATCTTACAAATCAACCAATGAGAGAGATCTAATCCAACAATTCCTTTTATTCGACATGGACGGAAAAGTGATGCGATCTCAGTTGTATATTCCCAGTTTAGACTTTCTTCACAAGGAAAAAACGGATGAAATCATCTTTTCAACTGCGCTTAATGTAACCAAATGCATTGGAAAAGGATGCAAAACAAAGCGGTTAGTATACATCTACAAGGTCGCTTTTTAAGTTCAAAACAGAGAATTTAGGTACCTTGTTCGAAATAAATCAAGCAAAAAGTAAGAGTTTCTGGTTCTCCTAGTGAAATAAACTTGTATTCAAAAAAATATATATTCTCATTTGGAAATTGAAACCATTGAAAGAGGATGTTTCGGAAGTTGATTTCCAATAAGATTTTATACATCTCTCTAGATAATTTGCCACTATTGACAAACAAAAATGAAAATAAAAATTGATATTTTGATATTCTTTTTGCTCATTCAAGGTTAAATTTTTTAAGATGGTTGTGCTGGTTTGTTTTTATGCTAAATCAATCACCTTTGCTGCCAATTTGAGGTTCGGCTGGTCTGTGAAGACGTATGCGAAGATAGAGGACACCCACCAGCAGGACTTCCTCAACATGATCACAGTGAACTTGGCCGAACTCGTCTACGGCAGTCCGGAGTTGTTCGGCATGGGGGTAATGGACGAGTTCTTCCGGGCACACTCCAAAGTCGACAGGGTTCTGCAGGTACCACGTGAACATCCTTAAAATCTCTTCATTCTTAAAATCATCTTTATTTTATGCCAAAATCGGAATCCGCAGAAAATATTCAACTGCGCTGCAGAGAAAAGTGAATAAGGCCTAGGTAAAAAATTTTGGTGTTGAAGTAGCGAACGACAATGCAGTTTTTTTTGGACACATAAGCTCAAACATTAGTAAAAATTATTCCACAACCTAAAGAAAAAAAACGATTTAACGTTTTTTGAATGTTGCATCTTGACTTGATTGAGAAATTGTCGCTCAATTTGGCTATCAAGTCTTTAATTCAAAAACTTTTAATTTTCTTTTCTAGATCTCGCAAGTTTTTACTGAAATTCAGATTAACAATGAAGAGAGCAAGTGTAAACAAAATAAATATGAAGTTTTAATCAACTGAATATGTTTGTTTGAACTTGGAAGTTTTCCCTTTTCTCTAGGTAAATTTGCAGCCACTGATTGTCCCCAAGGAGCTCTCTTATCAGTTTGGACTGAAGGATTTCGGAAGTTATCATTTCAAAACTGAGTGACTAACAGTCTGAGTCAACGAAACCAATCGAAACAACAGAAACAAAAGACAAAGCTGAGTAAAACAAACTTGATCCTAGAATTCGATAAAAGGTATCCTTGAAGGTCGCGGGATAAACTTGAGTGATTCATTAGATAAATCATTGGTTAGTAGGCATTTTTTTTATTTTGAAACTTTTGGTTGCCATTTTTATTAAGCGTTTGAAGTTTGCGCACCGTTGATTAATGTGCGTGCTAAATCTACGTACGGTTGGTTAAGTTTTCAAGTTTTTTCATTCAAATTTTTGATCCCAAGACCAGAATATTTCATTTCCCAAACAAAAACACTTTCCAAGCACACACTTTTCATTTTTTCTACTTTCCTATCCTTACAACTAACTTTTTGCATAAGTTTAAATATGTAGGTTTCGAAAAAAGGGTTGTTGTTTTCTTCAAAACGATTTCCTCGTTTTCAGTCGCAAAAAACTTTTGGCCATGTCGTTTTTGAAAAAAAAAGAATAATTTTACAAAAACGGGGATAAATTTCGAAAACTGCTAAGGCCATATTTCGTATCAAAACGCAGGGCATAGCCGCATGCGTAGGTAAGATTCGCAGAATTGATTTTTCTGTTTTGGTTAAGCAAACCTTTAATCTCCGATTGGCAGCGTAGTTTTGAGAAAAATTAGGAAGTTTTTGAATTGACCAAAATGCAGAAAAAAAGGGATTATTTGAGACCAAATCTTTTTTTGCCGATTTCAGGGAATATCCGCTTGAGAAGAAGAGATCCTTACAAATTCCTTTTGTGATTGAAAACTTCATCTCAGGATTGTGCATTTAATATTTGAGAAAATGAAAAAAAATCAAAACAAATAGGCCAAAAATCCCCCTGCTGAAATTCTCGAAGGCCGTAGAACGAGAGGTAGAATGAAAAGAGACTAGCAAAGTTTGAAAGCACGTGGAAGCACAAAAAATTTTATAAGCCAGTTTCTTTTTGGTACCATTGTTTTGAAAATCAGTACCGTAGTTTTTGAGAAAAGTGCAAAACTTTTTGAAAGCGTCGCAAAAAAAAAACGAAAATTAACAAATCCTATACATTTTCATGATACATGTTTTTTTTCAAACAGTACCTAACACTAGCTAAAAAGAGCAGCAAAACAGGCCTGTAAATTGGTCATTGTTAATTAAGCTTAGATATGATTAAATTAAAATATACCAAAAAGCCACCGATTGAGGTCTTATATTTGCGACTTTGGTTTACAAAGTTTTTCGTAATAATGCACTAGGCTTCGCTTGTGTAAACATCTAAAGAAAATTAGTCCGGCTAAAATAGTTTTTCAATTTACAAAATATTTTTCGATATAAATTTCATACTAAAACCAACCGAAATCAAAAATTCTGATCAGCAAAAAACACTTTAATTCCGCTGCAAATCTGAAAACTTAACTCCACTTTCAAAGCTAGGAGACAATGACTTTTCTTCGCTGATTTTGTATTGTTGTAAATGTAGAGCATATTTTGGTTTCTTTTAGAGGAGCATATCAGCAAATTATTTTGAATTGATATTAAAAAACCAAAAGAAAAATGAAACCTCGAAACCTAAATTTAAGCGAGAAAACTTTTTGAAAACAAAACCACAGGATCGAAATGAGTTATCTTTTTGTTCATTGACACTAAATGACCCAATTTTTTTATTAAAGTGCAAAACAGCGCTTGTTGGCAAAGAATCAAGCAATTAATTCGTTGCTTCAGTCCTTAGTTAAATGGTTTCAGAACTTTCGCTAAAAAAGAGTGCAGAATAACTGAGATCAATTCTAAAAGAAGTTTTACACTGAGGCGACGCGGCGTTTCGCACTACTTGCGATACAACACAATTATACAAAAAGGAAAAAATTAACAAATGTTGAAAAAAATCTAGGAGAATCAAAATTTTCGTATGTCTCGACAAAAGACACCTACGTCTCAGCTAAAGCTGCAGGAAAAAATTTAATATTTTTGAATTTGTTGTACTGATGCGAGATGAAAAACTTATTTTCAAAAAAAAAAGTAATTTATTCCAATAAATGCAGGTTGTAAACAGTAGAATAGGGAAATTTCTTAAAACTGTTTCTCTCACTTGATTGAACACTTAACCTGAGAATTGGCACGTAATTTTCGAGTCTAGTAGAAAAAAAATTCCAGAAAACGGTCCAATTTCCAGAACTTTTACTTGTTTAAAAGCCATAAGTTTTCTGCAGCAGAAAATGGCGTAGCAAATTATTAAGTTAAGCTTCAAACAAACTGTTGGGTGGGTTAGACCTATGATATCAGTTTTGGCAGGATAGTTATCGAGAAAAGACCAAAAATCGGTCAACAAATCAAAGTTGACATTTCCGAGAACTAAAATATTATTTAATATTATTTCAATTGAACCCAAAAACCTAGGTTTGGCCGCGTAGTTCTCAGGAACAGTCAAAAAAATTCCAGCATACGCAAAGGAGCTTCCAACAACATGTTCTTGGGATTGAACAGTAAACTTCTGATTAAGAAGGGTATTTTTTAAATGAAACCAAATTTTGAAAAGAAAAAAAAAACGCTACAAAAACCAAAAACATGACTTATCCGAGGAAGATAACTTTTTGTAAAAAAAATTGTGAGTGGCACTGCTAATGCAGGGGAGCTTCTCACTACCCGTTATCTCCATTGAAACCACACCTTCAGGTTTGGGTGGTTAGTTTATAAGCAAAATGTGAAAAAGTTTTAGAAAACAGTCAAAAAAATTAGAAACTTGTTTCATCCGATGGCCATAATTTTGAGTTAAAAAATTGGGCAAAACCGCTTTTTGAGGGTAGTTTTTCAACTCTTTTCTATTCATTGAAACCCAAATATTAGATTTAGTAGATTAGATTTTGAGAAAACGAAAAAAAAATCGGTCAAATCATTCCCATACAGACGTTTTCGAAGGCTGTTAGACAAAATTGGAGAGCAAAAAGAGACAAGGGGAGTATGCAGGCACACAAAAATGTAGACGGTCTTTCTATGTATTTCCCTTATTTGAAATTCAGGTTTTTGGGAAAAAAATCATTTTTTTGAAAGTATTAAGTTTTTTCAAATCGTCAAAAAAAACACTTTCATAATACCTGTTTTTATCAAACAAGATTTTTAGGCAAACATACCACGCAAGACATTCGAAATTCAAATTAGATACTGGAAAAAAGCTACGAAACGGAAACAAGTCCGACAATCTTTGAGCAGACACCAGTTAAGCCGAAAAACAACTTAATGTAAAAAACTTAATAGTCCCCCTGAAGCTACCATGTAGTAACCAGTACTCAGCTAGTAGTTAAATTTGAATTTTCAAGAAATTGAGCATTTTTGGTTGCCACAGAATTGAGTGCTGCAGAAATGATTCAACTGATTTTGTTAAACTATTTGTTAATCAGAAAAAAGCCTATATTCCAGTTTGATAACGCTTGCTTATCGCAAGCATGAAAATATTGAATAAATATCGTGTTTGGGTATAAAATTAGTTTTAAAATATTTATTCATATTAGTTTCCACGATTCACATCAGTATTAACACAAAATCACAATTTAAAACCTAATCAGAACGGAATTCTATTTTCAACACCAAACACTCAACTCAACACTTTATTGCACATTTTAATCTACTCCTTCAAAGCCTCAAACTGCGTGAGTCAATTCAAAAACAATTAGATCAGTCAGTTCAGTTTCAAAGTTGAATATCATCATGAACAAACAATCTCTTCAGGCGTTCTGCTGCACAGATGTCTGCAGCGGGTTGCTCGGGGTCGCGTCAGGTCGACTGGGTGCTGGGGTTCCCGTGAGTGGAAAGTGGGTCAACTGGTCCAGTGGGTGCACAGTTCGATCCAGATCATCAAAGTATTTATGGTGCAGAGCGGCTTTGGCTGTGACTCGACGCGCAGGGTCGTAAGTCATCAGAAGCTTAAATCAAACAGTAAAATTACCTAGTCGTTACATGATGCTGAGAATTCAACAGGTAAAATTGCCTAATCGTTACACGAGACAACTCTTATCAGCTAAAATATGCACAACTTTTCCTGAAGCGCAACACCCGTTTTTAAACTAGAACTAATCACCTCGTTTGCTGGTGCCTTCCCCGTGAAAATATGGTCTTAGTTTTAGGAGCTGTATGATAATCAAGTCGAAAGGAAGAAAATATAAATTCAAGTGAGTTTAGCTTTTCTTATGCATTATATAACGCCTCCTGTCTATTTTTATTATAACAACCTGTAGCAAATCAGCTGCCGCTTCGTCCGGCCTCTTAAGCATGCTGATCATGCTCTGGGGCTGCCAGGCAGGGAATGTGTCGGCATTGAAGTCCTGAAGAGTAGACACTCCCCTCCACAGCTGCTCGTTGGGAGTTCCCAACTTCTGGAATATCTTGTAGATCTGGTCGATCTCGGAGTCCCCGGCGAACAAGGGCTTCCTATTCAGCATCTCACAAATGATAGTTCCAACAGACCACACGTCAATTTGAGAGCCATACCTAAAATTACCAAAACTTTTATGCAAAAAGGATATTTGCATCTTGGTTTTGACATCATTCGGTAAAAGCGAAAGCAAGAACACAATTCCAGACAAGGTTTAAACGAAAATTAACAAATCCAGAAAATTACTATGACGCAAGGTAAAATTTCAGCCCTGACTTGTCCTGGTCTATTTCGTGTTTAATTGAAAATTGATTAAAAATGACATAAAAGCAACACCAAGTTTAGCAGGAGGTTCCGGTAAAAAGCACAATCTGTTGAGTAATTAAACTTAAAAAACTACGAAGAATATAGAAGGGTTCACCAAAAACAAATTTTCACTTGAAAAAATATTAAAAGTTGATCAATTTGTAGTAAAAGATACTATAATTTGTGGATTTGTCACCTAACGTTGAAAAACACTTGAAAGCATCGCCCGTTGAAAAGTTAGCAAAAACTTTACCAATTCTTTTATTTGCAATGTAAACTGCAATTAGAACATTCTGTGCTCCTTGCACAACCGGCTGCTCTTGTTTTTTTTCTAGTTTTTTGGTGGTTTTTGGATAGTGAGAAGGAATTGAAATTTGCATATGCAGACCACAAATCGGGTAAAAAAAGACATGTCTTACTAATCTTGAAACATATTTTTTTTGGAATTGGAACCACGAACGATAAGGTAAAATGTGATAGCTCTCATGACCTCTTGTAATGAGCCCATTCGTGTATTATGCTCAAGTCTGATTGGCTGAAAAATACTATTCTTAACCAAGTGAACAATCTCCCTTAAATTGATTTCGGGAGGAGATTGTTGACTTGGTACTTCGTGGTGTACAACATGTTTTTTTTTTCAAGCAAAATTACCACAAATTGATTTTGCATTTAAAAACTAAACCCCAGGGAGAGGTCGAAACAAAAACTAGAGACCTTTTGCATCCTAGCAGCACTTCTGGAGCCCTGTACCACAGAGTGACCACTTCGTGAGTGTAGACCCTCACAGGGATCCCATAAGTCCTCGCCAGTCCGAAGTCGGCCAATTTGATCACGCCCTTGGAGTTGATGAGCAGGTTCTGAGGCTTCAGATCTCGGTGCACAATTCGACGCATATGACAGAAGCAGATGGCATTCATGATTTGGTACGAGTAGCTCTGCAATATAATTTCATCATTTTAGCACCTTCAGCCATTGAACCTAGATCCTATATAGTCTAAAATATTTCTATAGCAGAAAATTTAAAATCGATCGGCACTACTATTTAAATATTATCAATTTATTTTCCCGTAAAATACAAAAACAACATGTAAAATACAAAAACTACCAAAAATTTAAGCTAAAAACGGGATAATCATAAGCTTCATGATTCTTTTAAGTAAGTTTATCCCACCTTAACCAGTTTGGCATCTATGAGCTCCTCGGGTTCCAGACTGTCCATGTACTTCTTCAAATCTTTGTCCAGAAACTCAAACACCAGGTGCAGTCGACTATCGTCCATGATCACGTCCAGCAGCCTTAACAGTTCAAATTATCCGAAATCAACTTACATTATTGACAAAAAACATTCGATATTCTATTATAATTTTTAATATCAAACCTACAATAATAATAATAATAATAAATTGTTTCCGAACGATATCTAGTTTAAAGTTATTTATAAAAATTTATAAATACAAATTAGAATCGTTTGGGAGAACACAATATTTCACTTCATCATAAAAAACACTCATATATGTTTTCAGATATGTAACCAGCAACGGGAATGAAATACAATAGTCTCGAAGGCCTTCGGCGCAAAACCCATTAAATGAGAATTTGACCCGCCTCGAATTGTTGGATCATTATGATCATTCAACGAAAAGATTTAAAAAGTTTATAAAACGTGGATTACACCGTCAACATCAAATTTGCCAGAAAGATGAGATACTATAAATCGTCCGACAAAAGAATTATCGACCAAAAGAATAAAAAAAGAAAGTTGGCTAAAATGGATTGTTAAGCACGTAACTAAGAAAGGTCAGTCGAAGACTTAACGGCCAATAAGTCTTCGACGGAAGAAACTTTGCGAAGCTGCAGAAAAAACTAAAAAGTACTAGAAATACACCGGGATTACAACCGACTTTGAACTGAAAGGAGCAATATTCTTGTAACGACTGAGATATAACCAACTTGTTCAATGAATACACTCAAAGTAAACTCAAAGAACCTGCTAAAAATCCCGGTTTACTTCAAGACAAAGAAAGCTATGGGACTCAGCAAATTAGGAAACATTAACTTAGCCAGCAAATAGTCCCAAAAAGTCGTTTTCATCATTTTTTTCTACACGATTACAAAACAAGGCACTTATCTGGAAAAGAAGTGAAACAAGTCCAATATAAAAGGCCACTGACAAACAATCAATGACTAGCTATCGGCCAATAAGTCTCTTTACTCGATCAAAAACTTGTATTTGAAAAACTGTCAGCTCAAACACTTAGACAACTCTATCAATTCAGTTTAAATTTCGACCCAAAAGATCTACAACAAATCAAATGATCAAGTTTCTCGACAAAAACCTTCTAACTAGCTGAGCATAACAAAGCTTATCACATCTCGGCAGCATAAACTTAATTTGAGAAAGCTTTTTATAAGGCAGAACAACGTTTTCTGATCTTCATCAATTCATCATCTGAAAAGATCAGTTGGCATTGGTGGAAACGTCAAAAAATTGTTTGAAAGCTACCTGCAAAATACAGGCAACGGATACATATCAGATAGTATTTCAGCGAATGGCATGATGTTACAGTACAGTGGAGTTCCTCGAGAATCTATTCTGTGGGAACATGATTATTTCTCTGTATCATTAATGATCAACAAACTATCTTTCCAGTTAAAACTCGACAATTTTTAAAGAAAAACTAACAGAGACCGGTCTATGTACTTGGCGAATCACTGTGCTTGCAACTGCTGCAAAAACTCATAAAAAATAAATATCAGTTAAAACTGTTTAACCAGAGGCGATGCTGTGCATCTCAAACACTAGCGAAAACGAGACAAAAAACAGCTCTATAAAGTATAAAGTGCAGGAGGAAAAAGTCGAAATAATCCTCGAATTGGTAAATATTCGGCTGTCTCGGTTTCCAATCTACGACCTACGGCGACCTGGAGATTATGAGTCTCACGCACTAACTACTCAGCCACGAAAGCTAACCACTCAGGCAAACACAAGTCACAAATAAAGCGAGAACAAATGCTATGTAATTTCTAAGGTTACAGAAAAATTTCCATATAAGTGAACAGTTTCAATAAACATTTTTATTTGCGAGAGGTTAGAAAAAAATTAAGGTTAGTACTGAAAAATACACTAACGCTCGTGTGAAAACTGGAAACTCTCAATCCCTTTGACTTTCGCATCGCAAACAATAGAACGCAAACACAGCGTTGCAAGCTATGAATAAAAAATGAAAAAAAATTGAAAAAAAATAACAATCGAAAACAAAAAAATTTTGAAAATGAAAAACTTTCAGAAAAATAGTCAAGAAACACAACGTACATCATAAAATCTAATTTTTAACGCGCAATCTTTATATCAAAAATGCGTTCAATGAGCCGAAAACAGTCGCTCATTGAGGCGAAAATAAAATGCCATTTAAAATGTTTAAATTATTGAGCAACTAGCTGTTTTTTTTTAATCAACCCCTTTTGATTTTTGAAGCGACACAAAACAAGAAAGCTAAGATGACAAAACATAAGCCGGAAAAACTTAAGTTGAATAAAGCTTTTAAGCGAAATATATATATACAAATTCGGGAATATATCATAAATACTCGCGCGTCTATGACAATAATTGCTGACTGCACAAGAAAATTCCAAAATGTGGTAAGTAAGCCGACAAAACATAAGCAGACAAACAGAGAACCATTGGGTAAAAAAGACTCAAGCCTCAGACCTTAGGGTACAAAGACAACCGCGTTACCTGTAGGCCAAATGGAAAGCCGTCTCGAAGTTGCTAAGGTTAACTAAAAAAGTAACTTCAATTTCAACTTCAGATGTAAGAAAAGTTGTTTACGCAAAAAAAGCCTAGTTCCCGATTACTAGACACTTGCCTTTGGAAGTGTAATTAACAATAACAATACTATTCTAGACTGTAATATTCCTTGCCAAACAGGATAAGTCAAAACAGGAAAGTCAAGATGTCCCATAAGAGAAGACTTTTTATATATGTGATCATTGTTTTGAGTATTTCCAGGACAAGTTTTGAGCCTTGAAATCTCCTGAGTTCGCATTTATCTCAATGCACTCACTTGACGATGCAGGGGTGCTGCAGTTCCTTGAGAGTGGATATCTCCCTGATGGCAGTTGAGGGCACTCCTTCGTCCTCACTGTCCAACCTGATCTTCTTCAGGGCCACTATCATGTCCGTCTGGTTGTGCTTCGCCTTGTACACCACTCCGTAAGTACCTTATGAAACAAACAAAAACGTAATTTTCATTTAAAAAAAATTGTTAGATAAATTCTTGAAGTAAGTGAAAATTCGCGCAATTTCAGAATGAAAGAGACAATGGAACTCTTTCGGTTTTGGCCCGAAGAAGTTATTCTACCAACAACCCCAGGGTTGGTAAAGACTTTGGCTTAAGATATATTTTGTTAACGCAAAATGAGGTGCCGCAAAAAATTTAAGATGCGTTCGAGACTTGTATTAATTGAAAGCCTTTTCAGTCATGACTTTAATGAAATTAAACAAAGGTCTCCATTTCGAGAAACAATGGTCGCAAAAATTTCTGTTTTTCAGACTTTTCAACAGGGCGTGGAAAACATTCTAATGAATTCCTCGCTTCCATTTTGTTCGTACTTGATTAATTTTAATCTGATTTGCTGGAACTCCTCTTGCAGAATTTGTTATCCTTTTGTCAATCGCCAGAAACGTTAGAATTGTTACAGAGTGTCTTGAACTTGTGGGCTCTCAAAATTAAGAAATCAAACTTAACTACCAGCCAGAACTTAAGTAACCATTTGATTACACAATGCATGTTGCTACTGAATGTACATAAATTAGTACACAGACAACCAGCACCTTATTCATTTGCCTTTAATGTTCTTGCATTCCAGAATTTTAAGAAAATAATAGCAAAAATGTTGTGCGGCGTGCAGCAAAAAAAGACGCAACCCGTTAAGGCGACAACCATTTTCCATGTTACACAATTCTCCAATTGCATTTATCAGAAACATAAACCGCTAATTCTAACAGTTCATTTTAAGACTTTTAACGCTCATTTGTCGTCTTATTATCCTTTCTTCTGCATTATCTAGCATGAAAATAAACACATCGACCGATAAAATTTCAGAAGCAATCGTCGGGCGTGATCATATCTTTTCCGCAGATTGCACGCTTTTATCTGAACTATCTATTTCGTTTTTTAAATTGAGACTGCGGAGGATTTGAAGAAGGAGCACACACAAAAAATAATCCCAAACAAAACAATCCGAAACCTTTCATTTTGCCGTTTTCAAAACTGAAAAATCAAGGAAAATAGCGAATGCGACAATAAAATGCTGAAAAAAAACAAGACAAACAAAAGTTAGTTAATTCAATATAATAATTACAAATTATCAAAAATCCCAATGATATCGTTGGGTTAGTAAAATTTTATCATGTTATTTAAAATTTTGTCGAGTTATGGGTATTCACTTTTTTTGGGACTGCTCACTTTTTTTTTATCCCGTGCACTTTTTTCCTATAAAATTTCGGCATTTCTTTTATTCGTCCGTAAACTTCTCGATTGCTGTTAGACTCTTCATCAGCTTTTTTCTGGTGCGGGGAAAATCGTTATGTACTCGGTGATGGCAATTCCATCAATCTATGTAAAATCTGGGTATCTATAGTCTTCGAGAAGTAAGCCTACCACTATGTCCTCAAATTAATTGAGTATCCGCAGGCTGCAATGGCTGTTGAGAGAGCTATTAGAATTAGATTAAGATTTTAAAAAACTTAAGATCATTGTGAGTGTTGCCTGATGTCCGAATAAGTCTTCAAATATTTTGTCTCTTTAAAAAAAAATTGATTTTACGCAGTCAGATGGGCAGCTGTTATTGAGTTTCGCAAAACTAATATGAGATCAACGATAACGCGTTTGGGTGTTTCAACTTTTAGAATACTGAAGAAGCAAAAATTATATTGATCCCTTTTGTCGAGCAGTGAAGCCATAACAAAAAACATCAGATATCCTTCAAACGAAGCCTGAATAGGAAAAAACAAAAGTGATAGAGTTTGATGAGAGCAATCTAAAACACGTTGCATCGCCGAACCAATTATCTGAAAGTGTCATACGTCTAGACCAGGTAACATTACGAGCACAAAGATCTGATATTCGACTTAGGATCAAAATAGTGCTTCAAAATTTGCTCCCCATCGTTTGTTTTCTAAGAAGTGATTCAGAACCAGTTAGCGATGTTGGCTCCAACACCTTTACTCTTTTACGACGAACTATAACAGCTTGTTGATTGACAGTGTAACTACTTGCTGTAATTGTTTCTCAATTCACCTCACGCTAGGCTGCTAGAAATGCGTTTTGGTGTTAAAGCCGAAACTGCAGCTCGATCTTTGAGTGAGCGTTTTTCTGATCTTACGTTTCAACCGGATCGAGGAAATGATCTTTTTCGATTTCAAAATCTTCTTTTGTCAGCAAACGTCAATTGCAACTTCTTTGCGCAGAGCCACGAAATTGAGTAGTACGAAAGTGCTCGATAATTAATGTAAGCATACCTTTCGAAATTTTAAGCTCTGAATTTTTATTGGTAAGAATTATTTCCCACGATGCTGAATAAAAATGTGTTCCAATTGAGTGTTGACAAAATTTCGCAAATGAAACAAGTCGAGCAACCTGCGTACTTACGACAGAATTAATCAAAGACTTGATTTTTTTTATTGTGTCAACTTTTTTCTTTCGTGGTTTATTTCTTTTAATGAGTGTACGCTGCTGTTATCTAATAGTTCCCGTTTCTATGCTCTGTTAGTTATCATCATCCGAGCTAGTCAAAACCAAAATAATATTTCTCCGAGAGGAATTTTATCGATAATTTTTTTTATTTATTCTAATTAAAGAACTTGTTATATCAGAAAATAGGAGATTTTGCAGGAAGAGGGATCGAGTCTAGTTTTCGCACTGAGGCGAAGTGGAGCTCCGCGAAACTTGCGATACGAAAATGATGAAAAGAGGTGAGTCAAAAAAGGAAAAAACGATTGCAGTTAAAATAATACAGAACGTTCCAACAACAAAAATTTCAAAAAATAACGAAATAAAAAGTAATAAGAATCGAAAAATAATTGATGTTCTTAAATCACTTAACTGGTCAAACAATTGCAAGATTAACTAGAACAACAAAAAATCCGTAGTAAACAGAACAAGACTGCTCGTATCAGGGCGAAGCCCTGAATGTTCCGACTGCCTTTTAAGTGATAGATTTCACTCCTAGTAACAAATCAATTATGGCACATAATCTTCCTTGAACCAATTTGGAACGATTCGCGCGTTAATTGTCCCAAATTGGCTATTATGGCAATCTTTAAACCCCGATAATTTACAAAAAATGATCACAGGTGAAAAATCTTTTCAAATTTAAGCTCAGGACAACAATAGTTTTCGAATGATATAAAACAATGGCTAGATAAAAAATCGAAATTGGTCTAAGAAAAAAAACTCATCCCGAGCACAAATATTCCATTACTTTTGTTACAAAATTCGGAACAATAATTGAAATAGGAATTCACATACAGCCAAATTCGCACGTTTCAGAATTAAATGCTGATGATGAGTTTTACTCGCAAACGTTTCATGCAATAACCATTGATTCCTATTCTGTTTTCCTCACATCAAATGGTTTTGAGCCTGCAAAATTGAAAAAATCAGACCAGCGTTTCTCGGCACTGAATGAACCGTGAGAACACATGCTAACAAATTGCCAAAAAAATTAAAGCAGACGACCGATAACGAAATTGAGCACTAAATAATACAATTTTAGTTGGAAAACTTTTAATTAACCACAAGCAGTGCTATCAAAATATCGACCAACATATTATCTCATCGTGAAAACAGATTAAGATGCCTTATCTCCAAAAAAGTAGATTATGGTGATTATCTTGAACCATAGAAAATATTTTCGTGCTTCGGGCTTGGAGTTCTCAAAAAAAGTGTAGGCCAAAAATCACCTTTTTGAAATTTGCAAAATTGCACCCCCAACTTTTCATGTCCGACCAAGGTCAATGTTAGAAAAATATTTTTATATAATCTTGAAACATGAAAATAGATAGGCTTTTTTTCATCTGCATAATGTTCGGCAAAATTCAGGCAAGTTTAGTCCACAATAAGCTTTATTCGTGACAATGCTTCACTTAGAAAATGCATCTGTTATTTGCATCGACCAACGTTTGAAGCACCTTAGACAATGTTTTAATTTCTAAACATCAATTAGCGGCTCAATTTAAATAAAAGCCAATAACTTGTAGAAGAACATCATGAAATTGAAAAATTCTTCAAAATTGTTCCAAAATTAATCGTGTTTCATGACTTTTTGCGAAAACGTTCGTTTTGAAGTCCCTAATTTTTCGATTCGGCTTTAAGACCAGTCGGCCTGGTGTCCGGCAGCCTCGTACAACACATTAATCATTGATTCGATCTAGCGTATTATTGATTGTTTCAAGTATATTTAGGTGATGCTTTCTAGATGTACAAATTGGTCACTTACCTTCTCCGAGTTTTTCTAGTCTGATGTAGTCATCCAAGGTGGGTTCTTTAGTTCTGTTGCTACTCATGACGAAGGTACTGCACTACAACTAACTGAAAACAAACGTCGATTTTTGTAGTTGTGAGGTCAGTAAATTGAATAAACAATTCGAGTAACGCAACCAACAACCAGAAGCATCTTTTCACCACATATTGTCCCAACAAATTGCGTCATACAAATTGAGATTAGTGATGTGAAGAATATTTCAACAAAAATGAAACACTTTGAGAAATGAAAACTAATCAGAAGGTCAGATATTATCATGGTAACCGAAGTTATTTCACATAATAAAAAAAAACAAGTGGAATTGGATAAATTAGGGAAAAGTAAAGTACAAAGTGAATAAAATTAAAGAGATTCAGATGGTTGAATTCAAGTCAAACAAATTCAGAAAAGTAACACCAGCACAGAGTAAACCGGAGTTGAAAAAAACTCACGAAGGTTGACCTGATATTAGGCCACGGGTCTATCAGATACTATACTAAGCTGCGCTTTCGTTCCCTTGGCTCTGCAAAAAAAACTTCAAAAGTAGTTTAATCATTAGTTCCGAGTATAATGGCAGCGTTCGCAACCTGCATTGCGAGGGAAATCTCTGCTTCAGAAGACTGCCTGCCGGTGTTTCTCGGTACATATTCTCAAGTTCTTACAGAGCTTACTTAGAAAAAGCTGTGCTAGCGCCGGTGGCACCCTGAACTTCAAAGCAGAGATGCACCCGGCACGCACTTTTATAAATACCGGAATATAAAATTTACCGTACGGAGGCGGAGCAATTAGCATAATGGTCTAAGAGCAGAATGCGTCCAAGAGCAGAAAAACAGGAAAAAATATTAATTTGTTTTTAATTTATACGGGCTAATTGATACTAAACAAATATTAGAAACGTCAATAATACCAAAAGAATGAATAGATTATGCATGAATTGAAAAATTTTATCAAGTTTTTTTTAAATTAAAAAATTCAAAATCAAATCTTTCAAATTATGCACAATATAATCGTTTCTTTGGTAATATTGACAATTCTAATACTTATTACCGATTAGCTTACAAAAGATGATACTCTCCTGTTTTTCTGCTCTTGGACCCATTCTGCTCTTAGACCATTCTGCTTATTGATTTGCCACCTTACCGGACACATCGGATAGCGGATAAGAGCAGAATTGATGAAATAATTGATCGAATTCCATGTACATGTATGTAATATATATTGCATATGATGTAATTTGTTTAGATGCACGTTTTGCAGCATAATCAAAGAGCGACTAATGCCATAGAGCTGAAAAAAAGTGAGTACTACGAACGTGTTACTGCGCGCCCTATGTGAACTAACCTGGTTGGTTTTTTTTCACGCGCGTTGCACACAGATATTTTCACCCCCGATTCAGATAAATTTGTCCAGCTTTTTGCGTTCATTCAAAAATTGATTATATTTTATCACGACTGTTATTGGCATTGGCAAACTTATATTTATATGTACTGTTTAAAAAGTTAAATTGTTTTGGTTGACGGAGTGTTGGTTGGAGCCAATTCTCGGTAAACACGGATTTATCTTTTTTATCTCATCATGCCATGTCTGCATAGCCGGGAAAACATCAGAAGAGGCAATAAACCTGAAAACTATTCGACTACGCCTCTCAATAACCACATTCGACTAAAACATTGAAAAAATTTAGGTGGTGGCGGTAGTCCAAAACAAAGAAAAGAACCTCTACAACTGGCGGTCACACACATTTTCAGTCGAAACGCAGTAAATGACATTATAAAGATGGGGAAAATGCTCAAATCATTCTGTGCTAGCTACACGGAAACTAAAAGACATCCAAACATAGCTAAATATCAGTGGAAAAAGTCTGGTGCCGGATAACCCTACAAGATGGAATTCTACTTTTCTAATGCTACGCAATTTCAAAGAGAATCGTAGGGCTCTTGCAATGTACATTGCTTAAGTCGAAGTTCAAATCCCTACGCAGTGTAACTGGACTGTTCTACAGAAAATTTTTTAAATTTTGGGTCCAGTTGAACACTTTACGAGAGACTTATCAGCGGAAAACTGTTGTCTTTCATTGATTATTCCTGATTACCATAAACTACGAAATTTTTTGATGGAAATGGTTGATGACGACAGTGGAGTTCAGTCATTCAAGGATTTTTAAAAGTTCTCTCTTGTAGATATTTCGTTCTCCGACACATTTCCGAAAATTTGTCACGAATTCCTCCCCTTTTTTATTTAGTTCTAGAGTTTTGTTTTAAATATTTCACTCATTTCGTATGTTTTAATTCGGAAAAACAAAATTCTACCACACTACATCTTAACTTACAGTTCACAATAGACACACCAAAAAATGGGAAATTATCATTTTTGGATTTACCAATTTTCTTTTTTTTATGAAGGTAATCAGAAGGTCAAAAGTATCTTAGTAACCGAGGTTACAGTCAGGAGTCCCTTCTTCACGTATTCCAGTGAAAGTCCTTGGAATTTTCTAGATATGGAAGTGATAATGATAAAACAAGATGACGAGTGTTTAAGTCCTTTTCAATTAAAATCGATACGGGTTACGCTTCTTCTGTGCCATTCTGCCAGATTGGCACAGCGCAACCTTCCGGCGACACCAAAGAAAACGAATAAATGTGACATTCGACCAGAATGTCAAAAATGCAATCTCTGCAGAATTCGGGATTTTTAGCAGTAAGCCTTCCGGATTGGTGGTTTTTAAGAACTAAGAGCGTTATTGGAACGTTTGGCCAGACGGTGAGGGCTGGAATATTCTAGTATTTTAAAATTTCAAAAATTCGAATGATGACGTCACATATCTGAGAAATGCTGAAACGGCCATTTTAACAAAAAACGAGAGAGAAAACACAACAACATTACCACACTACATTTATCGTCATTTAGAGTAGTTTATTGTAAAAATCCTGACGATGCACATAGTTGCGAAAACGTTTGAAATTTACTTTTTAGCAAAAATTTCTACAACAACATTAGTTGCGCTGACGATAACAACGATAATCGTGATTGAAAAACAGCAGCAGATTGCAGGAATAGCAGAGAACGTTCCGAGTTCTCTTGGACCCATTCTGCTCTTAGACCATTCTGCTTATTGATTTGCCACCTTACCGGACACATCGGATAGCGGATAAGAGCAGAATTGATGAAATAATTGATCGAATTCCATGTACATGTATGTAAAATATATTGCATATGATGTAATTTGTTTAGATGCACGTTTTGCAGCATAATCAAAGAGCGACTAAAGCCATAGAGCTGAAAAAAAGTGAGTACTACGAACGTGTTACTGCGCGCCCTATGTGAACTAACCTGGTTGGTTTTTTTTCACGCGCGTTGCACACAGATATTTTCACCCCCGATTCAGATAAATTTGTCCAGCTTTTTGCGTTCATTCAAAAAGTGATTATATTTTATCACGACTGTTATTGGCATTGGCAAACTTATATTTATATGTACTGTTTAAAAAGTTAAATTGTTTTGGTTGACGGAGTGTTGGTTGGAGCCAATTCTCGGTAAACACGGATTTATCTTTTTTATCTCATCATGCCATGTCTGCATAGCCGGGAAAACATCAGAAGAGGCAATAAACCTGAAAACTATTCGACTACGCCTCTCAATAACCACATTCGACTAAAACATTGAAAAAATTTAGGTGGTGGTGTAACATTCGTCTACTGCAGTCACACATGAGGCTTAAGAAAAATAGGCCCTATAACCACTGGCTCAAGGGTCAGGGACACTATCTCTTGTGTTTTTCTACCTCAAGAACGGTCGGAGCCAGTTCGGTTCGCTTGTGACATGAGACTACGACCCGTTACAGCTTAAAGGCTACTACTAAAATATCCCCCCACTCTAGAATTAGAAACGTCCCCATACTTAGGTCTCTAGATACCCAAAATACATGAACGCCGTTAAAAACCGGGTTGGAACAATCCGTTAAGTTGCTTTTTTATTAGACAGTGGAACTTTGATCCATTTCAGGTGGATCAACCTAAAACTCGCCTTACCTCAACATAACAATCATAAAACACACTCTAGGAATTTAAATTTGTACTCACATAGTAGCACGCTCAAGAAGTGGGAAATAATCCAGTCGGTAGTTAACTCAAGAATTAAATAACGTAACTAAATGAGTCTAATGTTTTATAGTTTTAACAATGAGAACGAGTTTATACTCTAGACAATAGTTTTCTTGTGAACCATTAGGACACTCAAGCTGTCCACCTTTCCACCGAAGGTTCACTCTAGTCCAGTTCCGAATAATACTCCAGTCGCTATAATCCAATTCGAGGGAATGCTCTCGTCTCTGTCACAGATGGGACAGCTCTACTCTCGATTATTATAGTGATGGAAATTGCGAATAGCAATTCCCTACTGCTTTTTCTTACAACTTTCCCGCGTGTGCGACTCAATTGTTCTGAAATTGTTCTAACTTCTTTTTCTGATTTTCAGTTCTCGCGAGAAAATCGTGCATGACAGGTTCCATTCGAAATTTTGAAAAATTAAATTTCACTCCAAAATCAAGTGTTTTTTTGCTCCTCTCAAGGTCAAACTTCCAAATATGACCGACTGGCACATACTCCCCGGACTCGAGATCGATGTCCTCATCGCGCGCTGTCTTCTGCCAGTGAGTCCCAGAAAAACCGAGTGTTGCTCAAGATACAGTGCCAGTGGTCATTTACAGAAGTTTGCAGCAGATTTAAGCTTATCTACACCCCAAAATTCACAGCCATTTAAAATTTTCACACTATTGCTAAACAGCAACCAAAATCTGCATACACCTGCACCCTTGAATTTTCGCTTTTCAAGCCAATCATTTTAAAATCTCTTTTGTCCTATTCAATCAGGAAATTGTCATGCAGCATTTCGATTTATATAATAAATATAGTATATTAATAACAATATTTGCTTTGTTAAAATTTCTTTTTCGTGAATCCAAGTTTCACTCGGATCCACGCTCAAGCCCCCCTTCCCTCTCAAGACTCAAGATCCATCCGATTTGCCCATTCATCTCGTACTCTTCGCCTTGGAGGTACTGCATCCTGAAGTGCTAGATGCGGCAAACTGT